CTTCATGCTGTTGAGATATGATGCAGCCAGGGCTGAAGCATTCAGCTTTAAAGCAGGAACATAAGCATTTGGGTGTCAAGAGTGACTCTTCTTCTGTTGGGACATTCCATGTGTGTTATAAGATAGCTAAAAAGGTCTTCAAAGATGCCTGCTGTCTAGGCTTTCTTCTGTTTGCATAGGGCAGAAGGAGATACAGAAATTCCATTCTGATGTCCTTGCTTCCTAATGGAAGTGCCTACAATGGGAAATGTAGACATGCATGCACATGTGTGCAGAGGCCTTAGAACTAGCATCCCACAATCTGACTAGGTAGATAAAACAGACTTTTATTTTCATAGGCATGAGGAGTGGGGACAGCCATGTGAAGCAGACACATTTAAAGTGGCCACAGTGTGGGGGCCGTTTGGTGCAGAGACCAAACTCTCCAGAGTGTTAGGGAACTTCTGAGGGCAGCTCGTGTGGCCACCATGCAGTTATTTTCTGTTTCCCTGTAGACCGAGGCGTCCTGTACTAGGCTATGGGAGCTGACATCTACAGTCTGTGTGTAGTCCTCCATGTAGAGCTCTGTGTCCGCTGGTTTCCAGGTAGGTCTGGCCTCAGCAGTCCTTGGAGGAGAGGGCACAGGGTAGTCATTTCCTTGTCTTCCTTCTGCTGTATCCCTGTGGGTTGGTCACTGTCCTTACCAACAGCATAGCCCAGATTGGGCCCAATGGCAGCCAGAGCTGTTGCCTGGGTCCCTCTTTGTCCTTTAGGGCAGTAACTGCAAGCTGGGGTGTCCCAGTCTCTTCTTGGTTTCTGAAAGTCTACCCAGCCTCTTTCAAGCATGAAGTGGCAGCTGTGTTCTGAATGTAAGTCTCCACTAAAAGTGGCAGGGGAGGGGATGAGACTTCCTACAAAGACCCAGGTCCAAAGTGGCTGTCCCAAAGCTTTGCTCCTAGAGTCATTCAGAAAACCCTGGAAGTTGAATTCCACATACAAGGTGGTTGCTGAGTACCTGCCATTCATCAATCAGGCCTCACAAGGGCCAGCTGAACAGCCTTCCCCAGGGAGCTTATAGTCATTAGAGAAACATTTACAGAATCAACTCTAATTTCCTGCAGGTCCTGGGGAGTCAGCTTTTGCTGCTTTCAGTAGATAAGGCAGCGAGGAAAATGCACGCACAGTACAGCCCGCAGTGAGGTGTCCCCTGAGGGGAGAGGAGGGAAGTGAGGGAGACTTGACAAAACAGAGGCCAAGCAGGTGCAATAGCAGACATAAGATAAACCCTCTGAGAACTGTTTGAAATTCTGGGTGACAGCCACCTCTTGATGCTGAGGCCTCAGTAGAACAGAGTAAGACAGACTGCAGCCCACAAGAGCAGCTCCGCCATCTGTTGGTGTTGGTTACAAGAGTGATAGATGCCTTCAGTGCCAAGTCTGGGGTTAGGGGTGGGGATGGAAGAGTGAGTATGTGGGAGTGAAGGGGGAGAATGGTGGGCATGGAGGCCTGTGGATGAGGGAGGTCTGCTTCAGGTTGGCTCCAACCCAATGAAGACTGCTAAACCTTACACTCTAGTGCAGACAGAAGGAGAATGGCTGCTGCTGGCTGTCTGGAAGAGCTACTGTTTGGGTTGTGATCACATATATAAGAGTCTAACAAGGAGTTATCGGCTGCCATTAACATTCAGAGGAAACAAAGACACCCCGTCTCCAGAAGCCAGTCCAACACTTGCAGGCCAGCCCTGGTGTTCCCTGGTTGGATACTAATCTTAGAGAACTGTAATCAGGCAAGGTCACCTGGGGACTAGAATAAAGCAAGACAAGAGCAAGGTCACCACACAGTCCCCCAAACTCCAAGTTTCTCCCTTTCTCATTAAATGGATGATGGCTGCTTCTGTACTAATTACAACTTTGCCTCTTTCCAGCTGCCCTCCCCACAAATGATTTACACTATCCAGTTACAGCATGGCACTGGATCCTGAGTGGGTCTCTGCTTCGTCATGTCCTCCCCAAATTCACCCAGCCAAAGTCCAAATCCTACAAATCTACCATCCTTTTATAAAGAGTTACCACATCTCTCATGGGGTGAGTTCTTCCCTGAAGAAGATGACGCATTAACCTAATGGGTTCAGTCATAGAGGGACCCTAGTGGTCTGTCACCAGGTTTCAGTCAGCTGTCTCCAAATGTCATCGTGATGCCACACAGGTCCTGACACAAAGATGTGGGGGAGGGGAGGGTGCAATGCCATACCCAGAACCCATTACTACCCATGACGGTGAGCATTCAAACCTGGGAGTCTTTGGCATGGTAGGCAAAGGCCAGATGCCTTGGCTTAGAGAAGGCACTTCTATCCTGGGAAGTTCTCCACACCCTTCTTCCACTGGTCCAGAGCCTGAGGTTTCCTGGGCGTCACTGACGTCCAAGGGCTGGCTTTTCTGATGAACTCTGAAACCTGACCAAGAAGCTGGCCTGCTTGTCTTCAGGTCTCTCCCCATGGCTCCTTTTCATTCTCTGGTTCTTCTTTGCTCAAGGAAGGGAAATTTCTCAGAAGACCTCAAAGTCCTCCATCTGTTGCCTCTACTCACTGCTCCTATAGCCACTGAAGGCCCAGGGTCAAGATGTGAAGTGTCACTTTGAACTGAATTTTCTAGTCTTTGACTTTGTTCCTAATCTTTCTGCCAAGGGGCTGTCTGATCTTCAGTTACTCATTTCTGGTGAGATGAGCTCTGCCTCCTGAGATGGCCTTGCCCACCAGTGAATAACTATCCTAAAGATCCACACTGAGTCACAAGGGGTTTCTTGGTGGTTTACATGAGCCCTGACGGGAGAAAGTCAAATGTTTCCCACAGGACAGTCCTTGGGTCCCTGAAGATGGCAGGCAGTGCCTCCTGCAAAGCACACCTGCTGCAGGGTCCCATCTCACAGGGGACTCAGCAAGGTTGTCAGTCGCTCCCCTCTCCCCTGTGCCATGCAGCTTCGTGACTCTAGTGACTACCATTCAGTAGGTACACGATAAACTTTTTTAAATCCAGTGTCCACCTGTTATCTTCCCTAATAAACATATGTGTATTTTCTCAGACTTTCACTAGCTGGCGATGTGCACTCTGGGGGTGTGGCGTGAGACCATGCTGGTCTGAGACCCAGCAGCAAGGATGTGCTTTCTGTAGACGTAGTGCTGGTTGCCATTCCTTAAATGAATGAAAGAATGAATGGATAAAGAGGATATCTGGCTTTCCTGCCTGTCCGAGGAAGTCTGAAAAGAATGAGCAAATTCACTGTATCTCACTTGGACTTTCCCTCTGACACAATGCCTTTTTACCAGGATACGCATTAAAGCTGCAGTTTATGACTAAAGGCATCAGTAGTTAGCTCATTCTTCCTGTAAGGTCTCACGACCCACTTTGTGCCAGGGCCTATGTGGGGACTTGGAGTCACAGAGCTCTAGTCAAGACTGCATCCTTTGGTCATGAAGGCAAATGGCATGGCTTGCAGCCTGGGGCAGAGGTGAGATGGGGGAGGCCAGGGAAGGCTGCCAGGTAGTGCAGGAGTTGAAATCAGAGGACAAATGAGGAGGAGCCGGTTAGGAAGCAGGAAGAGGCTGTGTTTCTCACCTGGCTGAGTGCGACCCTGAGAAGAAGAGGAACCAGATGCTGTATAATCACACTAACTGTAACTAGGAACAATCTTGTTCTGTTAACAAACTCTCCTTGCTTACATTTGTGCCATGTGCCAAAACCCTGGTCTGCTAACTGCCTGACTCACTCAGCTGGCAACGAGGATGTCGAGAGTTGGAGGGCTTATTGCAGAAAGTGCTTGTATGAGGACAGCCTGCATGAAACTGAGCTAAGTGGCTCTGCCCTTCTTTGGGGCTTTACCACTGCCCCTGAACCCAGGGATGTTTGGAGAGCATCAACTACCCACCTCAAACAGCATACAGCCCTCCTACCATGTGCTGTTCTCTTCTTGGATTTCCTTAACCAGCTACAGAGGAAGGCTTAAAGAAATGATGAAATAACTCCAATGAAGGACACTTTTAAGGGGAAGAGTGAGAAAGAAATAGAGAAAAAAGGGAAAGGGACATTTCCTGCCCTTCTTGTATTCTTTTTTTTTTTTGTGGGTCTGGGATTTGAACTCAGGGCTTTGTGCATGCAAAGCAGGCACTCCATCAATTGACCCACACCCCAGACCATTTTGCTCTGATTATTTTGGAGATGCATTCTCTAGAACTTCTTGACAGGCTGGCCTTGAATCTCAATCTGCACAATCTCAGCCTCCCAAGGAGCTAGGATTGCAGGCATGAGCCACAGGTGCTTGGCTTGTTGGATGTTCTTAAATCAAGGCAGTATCTTCCATTGAGTAAGTGGAGTTTGGAGATAAAGTAAATGAGTGTGAAGAAGATAAAGAACTACTGGCTGAAGTTCCAGGACAGTCCCTGGTGTAAGGTGGGCCCTTCCTGTGCTGCAGGAAGGAGAGCTGCATACTAAGTAGAAAAATATCATTTAATTCCTGCCAAATGGATACAGCAATCTCAGTATTAGCATTTTTTTCAATTATGTTGATTACAAGCATATAGTTCTCATCTACTTCCAGATTTTGTATTTCCTAACCAAGAGATTCCAAAAATAATGTAATTAGAATATAGTTTTCAAAAAAGACAAAGTGTCAGGAAAAGCTGGTAATAAAAAGACTCCAGGATAATACAGGACTGAGTTTTCTAGAAGCCACAGAGGAAAGAGAAAACAGGAATTAAACAGTTCATAAAACGTAGCAAGCTGTTTTGACCAGAAACCTTTAGGCCTCCCGACACAATGCTAGACTCTCTCATAGGTATAAGTGCAGTATGTGACGTTTATGGGGGTCTTAGAGATCATGCAACCCTGTTCCTGCATTTTTAAGGTGTGCAGATGGAGACTTGGCGGGGGAGTGATGCATTCAAGGATGTAGGTATCAGAAGTGGGATTTCTCTTATTGTGACACTGCATGACATGCTGGCCTGTTGTCTTACTCCACTATAGCTGTGGTCAGATGAAAAGACTTGCTTCGTGCTTCATCTTGTCCTTGCAGCTACCGTCTCTCTGGGCGGACTCAGACTTAGGGGTAGATGTGAAATAAGACCCCTCAGCAGATCTCAGGCCCATCTTTTGCAAAGACACCTGTGTGCCAACAGCAGCAGGATGGTTTAGCTCCTTCGCAGGCTCCCGCCACTCCTCACACTCTGGGCTACCTGGATCTCTTCCACAAAGGTCTGCATCGGGGTGGAAGGTTTTGTAAGAGCCTCTGCCAAGGATGGGGCTAAGGTCGGCCATGGTGATGGGAAAGGGCTTAGTGACTGGCTGAGGCAAGGCAGGCTGGAAAGGGATGACCTTTCCCAATGTCCTCCCAGAGTGGCATGTCTGTGGAGTCTCTGAGCTGTCTTCTTGGAGGGAGGACACAGTCCCTTCCGTGGTGGCACTGAAGTACGTTGTTGTATTCTCCTGTCCTTCCCTTCCTCTTAGTTTCCCACCTTCGCCCCTCCCTTGAGCCCCAGGATCAGGTTTGGCCACCTCCTTTGGGCTGCCCTCCTCCTGTGCAGCTGATGGCTTCTGGGGAGGTACACTGTCCTGACGCTCGCTGGCAAAAGAGACATAGCTTGAGGTTTCCACTGAGTCCACCTCTGCTTTGGGGGCCCTCCGAACTCGGAGCCTTTCTCCAAGGTTGAAGGATCATGAGAGGAGGATGGGAGGTCTTTCTGGGAAGACAGGGGCTTACTAGACCTCCATGAAGGGGGACAAGAGTAGCCAGGACTGTCATCTCCAAAGGCTGCGTTGATCTTAGACACATTTCCTGTCTTTAGGGCGAATTTCACCAATAGCCAGTGGTGGTGACTGAGGAAAGAGTCTTCCCCAGGACTGCAGGCCCCTAGCCCCATCTCTGGAGGGCGCTGCTGTGGAATGGAGGGCCTATCTAGACTTGTTAGTTCATAGCTTTCTGCTTGACACCAGCTGGAGCTCTCAGGCCTCTCCCTGTATGGAGCTGAGGTCTGGGAAGAAGACTTGCTCTCTGCTTTGTCATTCCCCACAGTGCCACAGCACGTCCTTATGAAGCCCTGCCAGATGTCTGCAGATTTTGGATGCAACAGGCTGTAATAAATTACCAGTGAGACACTCCCTGAAAAAGAAAAAAAAGAAGACAAGTTTATGTTCTGTGTAGTCCTATATCCTCCCTGTGGGTTGCAGTTCCAGGCTATTTTGAGTAGAGCAATGTAACTTTGTGATCCCAAAATAAGACTGTTCACAGAGCCTCAGAACTGGAGACCCCAGCTTCAAATAGCTGCAAATATTTCTACAATTAAAAATGGTGTAACAAGGCTTAACTCCTATTGGATCTATGGCTTGTTGCTCGAGGGCGGCTCCCATCAAGTACTTAAATTGTGTGTGTGCATGTGTGTGTGTGCACACATGTGTGTGAAATGCTCTGTAAAAATTTCATTTCAAATTTCAGAATTTCTGGTTAAACACTTCAAATCCCACCATTAGCACATTGTGGATGGATGCCAAAAGCTGGGGGAAGCAGGAGGTAAGAAATGGCCTTAAAAACAAGTGTGGCCGAAGCAGAAGGTAATCCTGCTCCTAAAAAGCCCATGTCAAGGAATTTCCATGAGCAACAGCAATGCTTCCTTTGTGCATAAACATCTTAATCACACTGTTGTCAGTCTTGATCACGAGTGTTGACTGCAGCAATAATCTCTTTAGCAGAGCGTTCCAGAAAGCCTCCCACGTTGCTTCCAGTTTCCTGTTGCAGTGGGGAAAGGGCCTGGGCTCAGGGTGCTCCCCACAAACAGTACAAGACCTGAAATAACTATGGGGAGGAGAGTCCAGGGGTCCAGGAGACAGCATATCAAGGAACCTGAAAGATGCTGCCCTCAGGCCCTGGCGTGTGACTGGGGGATGAGGCACAGGGCAGGCCATTGGGTCATGGCAGGGCTGGAGCCGGGAACATGGGGAGGCAATTCTTAGGTGCTCAATGTCACTCCTGCAGCAGGCACTGCTCACACAATTTTGACACGATCCCTAGGGAGGGACATATTGTCACCCATTTTTTTTACAATGAGCCACCCCAGGATAGGAAAGACCAGTCAAGCTGCCCAACTGTAGAAGTCCTTACCACACGGATCCAGTGAAAACCGACTGTCCCACAGGCCACGCATTTGCTGGGCTCTTGTTTGTAGCCTCGGCATGGCATACAGTAGGTACTCAATAAATGTTTGTCAAGGAAAAAAAGGAAAGAGAGGGAGCTATGAAGTGAGCTTGAACTGCTTCAAACCTGTGCTCTTTGGACTATAATTCTTCCTTTTCTTTAAATTTACTAACGTAATTTTAAATACATTTTTTTGATTGTAAGCATAAACTAATATAATTTTCAATAATGTGTGGGCTTAAACAACTGGCTCACAAAATTTCTTTCACTTTTCTTTGGTCTGCATTTCCTGCTGAGGATTCCCAGAAAAGGCCACTTGGGATTCAGAGCTCCATCTGCAGGTGAGCACAGGACCAGCAGGCCTGGAGGCCTGGCTGCAGCTCACCCATCTGAGATGAGTGCAGTGTTAACAGGCTAGGAGATAGCTACTGTGGAACTAGAAAACCCAAAAGAGTGGTTAGGCCTCCCAACTGGTGAAGCTCTTCATTCTATGTCCCAAGGGTCCTCCCCAGGATTTCTGGACACAGGTCAGGAGCACCCAGACCAACCAATAGAGACGAGAGCAGCTCTCACCTGGGCACCCTCCTGTTCCCAGCTCCCAATAGACCACTCACATGTACAGGAAAGCTTAGAAATCAAGGCCCTGCTACTCAACTTATTATTTTATAAAGGACTGTCCAGATATCTTTGGGAAGATGGCTGAACTGTGGTCCATCACACCAAGGAATAGGCTCAGATGTTAAAAAGGTGCTTATTGATGCAACAACCTGGATGGCTCTCCAGAGAATCATGCTGGGGAAATGAAGACAATCTCCAGAGCTTACATACTGTATGAGTCCATCTACCTAACATTCTTGAAGTGACAAAGTCACAGAAATGGAAAATGGGGAGGAGGCAGCGGAATAAGAAGGGGGCAAATGGGAGGTCCCCATGGTAATGGAGGGTCTGTGTCCTGGCTGAACCATGGTGATATCCTGGCTGTGATATTTATGTAGTCTTGCAAGGTGTTACTACTTGGGGAAACTTGGTTGTGGGTACAGAAACTTTCTGCATTAGAAAAAAATTTAATTTGAAAAAAAGAGAGAGATGGCTCAGCCACCACCAAGCCCTGGCCCAGGACATCTAAGGAAGAGGGGACAAAGCTTAAGGTCCAGGGTGATCTGGGGCTCCCACATGTTTGTCATCAGCCCACAATTTATGAATCTTCTCTGTGCTGTGAAAAGTGCCTCATTTCTCTAAGTGCTTTGTGACAAGGTCATTCCTTTCCCCCAGCCAATGCTGCTAACATAGACCAGTCAAATCCCGTGGTGTTGTGAGCAAGAAAAGGACCTGAAGCCAGCAACACCCTACTGTAGGTGAGGATCCAGGACTCCAAAGGTCCCAGCTACCTCCATGCATCTCCTTCAGAGTTTGGTGGTCAGAGGAAGGGCTTGGGGGTAAGCAGGAGCTCAGGAATGAGAGTCATTGCTGGGGACCCTCTGCCCTGATCCATGTGTGATTTGTCAATGGCTGTCCTGGACAATTTCACTATAGCCTGAGAAGGAGAGTAAGCACAAAGTCTGTGATGGCAGATGAGCATCAGGCATCAGGCTTCAAGTGTAGGAGAGGGAGCCTGGATGAGCTCACACTGATGGGAGAGCCAAGGTCCACACCATGGCTCAGCACGGACATGGCTGTCATTCATGCATAACACCTGCCAGATAATCTGTGCAGGTGCCCATGTTGGAGCTGGTGTGACTCAGTCCTGCCACTTACCAGCCCTCGGAGCTTGTGCATTGCTCATTGTTCTTTGTGTTGCTTTGCTCCTTCCTCAATCTAAACTGCAGGTACAACAGCACCCACCTGCCAGGGAACTTGTGGATATGTGGGGGGAGGGAGGAACTCTGCTGCCTACAACACGACACACAGTCATGTGCGCATCTCTGATGCAGGAGAGAAGAGGAGAGGAGAGGAGAGGAGAGGAGAGGGAAGTCACAACTCACCCTTGCAAAGAACTGCAAGGAGAAGGCGGCACATGTGGCCTTTTGGATAGAAGTGGCTGGACCTAGCACTCAAATCAAGGAGTGTTCCTCCTTCTCGTGTTCAGAAGACCAAGGAACTCCATTCCTGGGTCTCCAGCTCACTGCTCCTGAGCTCCCTTGCCTACCCTTTAAGTCCATCATAGGGAGATTCCAAGATGGCGGCTAGAGGTAGGAGGCAGAAAGCGACCCTCCTATAGTGAAATCTTGGAGAAACGCTGGAGACACACTTTGCAGGCATAATCACTGAGAAAAGGCATAACTTTGACCCCTCCACATCTCCAGCCGGTGCAGAGAATCTCCACTTCACGTTAAACGGAGAAACGAGGAGGGCCCCCGGGGCCGCCAGTGGCCGGCGCCCATACGGCTTGGGAAGACGCGGACCAGGTGAGCTTCGCGGTACCGCGGTAGCCCCACAGACAAGCCTGGGCCAGAGCAGCATAGCCCCCTGGACAGACTGACCTCCACCCGGGAAAAAAAGAGAAACTGAGTAATAAGCAATAAGAACAATAAAGACATGCAGGAAAGAGGGTGGGGCGCACTGAGAGCCGAAGATTGGGGGAAGGGAATCCTTCCCGGGACTGTAAATAAACAAGCCGGGTGGGCCGGAGAGCCTCTGGCGGGAGCGGGGCGCGTGCCCAGCAACCAGGAGCGGGGAAGCTTGTGAGAGGAGGGAGAAAAACTCCACAGGAGAGGAGGGAAGACCCACTTCCCACGTGAACTGTAAACAAACATGGCGGCCGGCAGGAGCAGCAGCACCGCCCAGTAAGCAGGAGCAGGAAAGCTTGTGAAAGTGGCAGTGGGAGGAAAACTTCAGAGGAGAGGGGGGAAGACCCACCTCCCACATGAACTGTAAATAAACACGCAGGCCTGACAACGCGGGGCAGTGTCACCTTTCCCAGTGCTTGGAAAGGGGAAAGCCTGTAGCAGAGGCTCCCGCACAGGAGAACTCTGAGCAAACAAAGCCTGTGGGACCAGGTGAGTGCTAAGCTCACCCCAGAGATCTGCATAAATAACGCCGCCAGCTACAGGCTGAGAGCAGCAGGCAGGCAAGCCACAGTTGCAGATACCACTCTCAGAACTGTCTCCAGACTCTTTTTTTTCTTTTTCTCCCTACCTTTGATGAGAGAACAACCGAATTACACCTGCAAGCCAAAAAACTTACTGAAACTGTATTGCATTTGAACTGGGGACACTTGGTGGGGCTTTTGTGTGTGTGTGTGTGTGTGTGTGTGAGTGTGTAGTTTTGTTCTACTTTATGCATCCCCTTTGATGAGACAACTACAGAACAACATCTGAGGCACCAACTCCAGGACTGGAGATTGAGACGGACACCCAAATTATTAAGACTGAAACTGCATTGCATATAAACTTGGAAGTTTTTTTTTTTTTTTTTAATTTTCTATTTTCCATTTTATTTTAATTCAATTTTATATATAGATATTTCTTTCATTTACTTATTTTTTATTTTTTTATCTTTGATTTTCAATCCTCTCTCTGTCTCTCTAATGTCTGTTCAGCTTACTGTCGATTAGTACACTAACACTCCCTGTTTATACCTTTGAAACTCTCTTGTCTGATACCTTGTTCTGCTTTCTCCCTCTTGTCTGTATATTTGTTTTCCCCTTTTCTTTAACTTCTTGCTTTCCATCTCAGCTCACCCTTCCATTCTAAATATTACCATTGTTATTATTACAAGCTAGAAAATACTTAATTGCACACAGTACAGGGACAGTAACAACACCAAGGACAATGACGGGAAGACAGAAAAAACAGGGAAACCAGTTTCCCCACAGCAAAAAATTAGTACAGGAACCAGAGGGGAATGAAGAGAACAGAAACTCAGATCCAGACTCCAACAAAATGAAGATAAACTATGCCAAAGGACCCAATGAAGCCCACAAGAATAATTTAAAAGAAGACATACTACAAGTACTCAATGAGAATTTTATA